AAAAAAAAAAAAATAAAAAAAAAAAAAAAAAAAAAAAAAAAAAAAAAAAAAAAAACAAGAGACGACGGGTGAAAACAGGCGGGCCGAACAAGTGAAGAACAGAAATCAAAAATATTTTACTAGGAACAGTTCAATACATTGTTTTTAATTTTTGTTGAATTTTTTTGTTATGAAAGTAAGCCCGCTATATGTGTGAGATGAATAGAAAACCATTTTTAAAAAATATATCGCTTTCAAATCCATTTAACAAAATACTTTAATAATTAATAATAAAGTAAGGAAGTGAGGTTGAGCAAAAGGAGACCAATCGGCATACGTCATCAAGATTTTTGAATCCGTTCGCAAAATCTGACAACTACCACCGAATTGGTTTGACTCTTATTAATCAAGTCCTATTTTTCACACAATTGACTATTTAAAAAATCATACTTCGCAAATACATTAATTCAACATTGCCGAGTAATGAAAATGGTCTAATAAAAAAATTAATTTATCAAGTTTAACCTGCAGGGAAACTCGAATTAACAGTGTGCGATTATAATTGCAAGACAAAACCGAAGCTTTGGAATCGGAACAGCAAATCATCTTCATTTGGAAATAATCATATTGACAGCGAATGTCCAGCTGCTTTAGCATTGTACAAGACTTCCATAAAAGTTGTTAGGAAAAAAATCAACTAGCACGCAAGCGAATTTTGATATTTAGAAACGTAAGTAATTTGTGTATACACAAAATTATATATACTAATAATATATGTACATATTTAGATTTTGAACCATAAATACTGGAAGTTCTTCAGCCCGCATTCCAAGGTTTTTTTAATACATTTTTGCACCATTACTTATAAGAAAGAGAAAATCATTTAAGAAAAGAACGTAACTGTCATCTATACAATATGAATGAACTAGATAGTCTAAGACAAGAAGCTGAGTCATTAAAGAATGCGATTCGAGATGCACGGAAGGCTGCGTGCGATACCTCTCTGTTGCAAGCTGCCGCTTTGCTAGAACCTATTGGACGTATACAAATGCGCACCCGACGTACACTGCGCGGTCATCTAGCTAAAATTTATGCTATGCATTGGGGTAATGACTCCAGAAACCTTGTATCAGCCTCACAAGATGGGAAACTAATCGTCTGGGACTCTCACACTACGAACAAAGTACATGCTATACCATTGCGTTCTTCGTGGGTGATGACCTGTGCTTACGCTCCATCGGGAAGTTACGTTGCTTGTGGTGGCCTCGACAACATGTGTTCAATCTATAACTTAAAGACACGCGAAGGAAACGTACGTGTGTCCCGTGAGCTACCAGGCCATGGCGGTTATCTATCATGCTGCCGTTTTCTGGACGATAATCAAATTGTGACAAGTTCAGGTGATATGTCGTGTGGCCTATGGGACATCGAAACCGGTCTGCAGGTTACTTCATTTCTTGGTCATACGGGTGACGTGATGGCTCTTTCCCTGGCACCGCAATGCAAAACATTTGTCTCGGGTGCATGTGACGCGTCTGCAAAGTTATGGGATATAAGAGAAGGTGTTTGTAAGCAAACGTTCCCAGGACATGAGTCTGATATCAATGCAGTCACCTTCTTTCCAAATGGACAAGCCTTCGCGACAGGATCTGACGACGCAACTTGTCGGCTTTTTGATATACGGGCAGATCAAGAATTGGCAATGTATTCGCATGACAACATAATTTGTGGCATTACCTCCGTTGCGTTCTCAAAAAGCGGCCGTCTGTTATTAGCGGGATATGATGATTTTAATTGTAATGTATGGGACACAATGAAAGCAGAGCGTTCAGGCATTCTAGCCGGTCATGATAATCGTGTTTCATGTTTGGGAGTCACTGAAAATGGTATGGCAGTAGCAACAGGATCGTGGGACTCGTTCCTACGCGTGTGGAACTAAATGTTTTACACAATGCGCATTAACGGGTGGGATAGGGTCAACGTAGCGGTGGTTGCAAGCAGTCTGCGTTTAGCAACACCGACAATAACAACAGTAGCAACAAAACAACATCCTTTTAAATTCAGGTGAATTTAAATATATATTCCGCACCAATAACAATTTTGTGCTATGCTGTCAACGGTTATATGTTACTGTTATTAGACGAAAGTGCTTCACGCTACGAGAGGGCAACCGACATAAAAAGAATGGTATAGGGCGTTGACTGCGAAGTAGACCATAGCAAAAACAAGAACTTTATATACAAATTATTTATATTGCTATATACTTATTATACTTATACAAACCAAACACAGACATACATAACAACATGCAACTAGACATACACACATACAAGTATATTATTAGTGTAAATGAAAAAATTCTATGCAGATCCTATGATTGGTTGGTGTGGCTGATAGTCGTTGTTCGTCAGATTTCCGATCGAACCTACAGTTTAAACAATAAAAAATCAGTTTAAAGCATGTATACGGACGCCAACGCTCACTATACAGAAAAAACTATTTGAGAGGGCAGTATCTTGACGACTATGATAGCACAAGTACGAGTATTATGGTAATTTTACTGTAATATTCGTACATATGTGTTTAATAATAGATGACATGTCAGTTTCATTTATCAGGCAAGAAAAATCCTTACATGACTATAAAACAACAGAAGTTGGTCTTAAGCAAAGTCAAATAAAATTAAAGCATTTATAAAAGAAAATCACAGGTAGAAAAGAAAAATAATAATAATAATAATAAAAAATAA